AGGTTTTGGCCCCAAATTTTGGAAGGTAGCAGCAGGTCCATGCCAATCTTCTCAGTCTTCAGTCGTGATCAATATCGAAACCTTTTGCTCTTTAAGGCAAGAATGCCCCCTTGCCCCCTTAGTCTTTGTTCTCCAGTTGGAAGTCTTGGTTTGCAACGTCAGGTTACACCCACACATAGTTGGACTGCAAGTGCAACACTGTGACGAACCATTTTATGTAAACGCGCGACTTTCTACGCGAAGCTGCCTTGGGGAAATGGATGGTTCGGATGGGAGAACCGTGGACAGAGGGGTCGGGCGGGCAAGTTGCATGAATGCCCGCGTTTCTTTTCGTTTTCTATGGAAATTTGTAGGGACGATGCCGGGAAGTCCCCGCGCCAACGATTGGGTAACTGGCAAACTGCGCCTTAGCAAGCGCGATGAACAACGGTTGCCATGGCTTCGTTCTTGTTTTGTTGTGAGCACTAGGGAATTTTGGTGCGATCCTCGCGCGGGAATATCGTTTTTGGTTTCTTTTTTTAATTTTCAACTGATGTCGAGCCCCCACGGGCTCGCGAAATTGTTTTTGGGCTTTTCAGAATTTCCTTTTGCAATTAGGACTTAGGCTAGGAATTTAGGTACTCTGAATTTTAATTGCGCCGCGCTTGCGCGCCTCTTGTTGCGCTGGGAACTGGGCTCTGACTAGATCGCGCCCTTAACCTTGTGCAACTGTCGCTTTTGGCGGGCGCGATTGTAACTGTATTTTTTGTCTTTCTTGATTTCTTCGTGTTTGCCCACCTTCTTCTCCTTTGGCTTGCGTGCTTTATGTTCTGTTCTAATTGGCCTGAATGCATGCATGACCGGATTGATGCGTGAAGTGCGGCTACGACCCCCACGCTGCGGTCTGGCCATGCAGACGTAGGCTCGTTTCTCCCTATTACGGTTGTTACCAAAGCAACTCCTCAAATCTATCAGACGAGTTGCGGGTAGGTTCCTATGGAAACCTTTTGGGAAGGTGGAGTGTGGGTATGTATCCAACTGACTTGGGAGAATGTGTGCTACAGTCGGAAGGAAGGTGGTCTCGGCCTACTTGATCCACAGAAACAGAACATGGCAATGCTGTCGCAGTGGGTCATCAAGGCCATTTCAACTGAGGACAGTGACCATTGGCTGCTTATGGCTGAGAACATACTGGCAAGGAGTGGCAGCTACCCGGCTAGAGGATGTGTTGACATGCTGTATGTTAGATTCCTTCCTTAGACGACAACTCAAATCTGTGTTAGTGATGGCAGGCGTCTTTCTCAATCATATTTCCTAACATTCTCCTGATCCATTCTGTGGCTGGACCCGTTTTCCAGCAGGTGACGCTCCCCACAGATGGAGCCTCTCCCCGGGTGCTAGTGATGCCTACTCTTACCAGCGGCATTAACACTGCAGGGGGTGTGGCACCAGTGACAAAGAGAGAGGTGTTGGAACAACCTCTCTTTTACAACCCCAAGATCAGGAACTCTGATGGTCTTTCATTCACAGAAAACACAAACCGACAGACCTTCGGTCGTAGGTGGGTTCAACGAGGTGTGGTGTGCTCCGAATGAGAGACTTGTGGGATGAAGTTTGTGGAAAGTGGTTCTTACCAATCGAGCACAAACAGAAATTAGGTAGGCTCGCAGGAATCGAGGAAAAATCGACAGCTCTAATCTCAGCAGTTCCTGAAGCCTGGACCTAGCTACTTGCGGATTTGGGGTGGCAGTTCACAGCCAGGAGGCTGCACGATACCCGATTGCATTTTGGCTTCCCCGATCAGGTAACGTCGACGACCTTTTGAGGGTTTGGATGGGCGTAGAGGGGGTGGGAAACGGTCGCTGAGGCGGTCCTAGCAGAGGACAAAAGCAAAGCAGACCAGCGGTAGCCTACAGGGGTAGTGCGGAGGTCGTTTCGGACGGCGCCCAGGGGTTTCTTATTCAGGCAACTTCACAGTGCGAGAGGGAACGGGAAGAAATGGGGGGCGTCCGGATTTCGGGCATAACTGTACTGTAGCTGTTCTGTATGCATCTGGCCTGAAGTCCGCCCAGTGTACGTCCAAATCTATCTTCTTTTCCATTGTTTTTTTTTTCTTCAGCTCATCAATTCCAAACAATGGATGTACACTGGGCGGACATCTGCGGACATCTGCGGACTTCAGGCCAAATACATACAGTCCGGGCCTGAAATTGGATTGCTAAAACAAGATTGTTGAATCGTCCAAATGACCAAGCAAATGTCCGAATAAACTAACAAGACCCAAATCTGCTAACCGCCCGGGAAATCCCAGGACAAAGGGTCTCCCTCCACTACTCTAGACTCTCGAAGATTTCGAGAGTGAGTCTAGAGCTGTCAGACTCTAGAAACCACTGAAAAAGAGAACATCGCTCCACTTACTCTAGAAGGGCAAACTCAAGAAGGCCTCTCAGATGTCAGACCGCTCTTTGAGAGAGCTACACGACACGGCCAGCACGTTGTTGTCCGCCCAGACACCAGGTGCACTCCAAAAAAATGCTCAACTTTCGAAGGTCCTGGATGCCTCCCTTGAAATTCCCGCCGCTGCAGGCGGGAGCTCTCGAACCCTCAAGAGTGCCACGGGAGAGGAGGTTCTGACAACTCAAGAAATGCATTTTCGTGAGTGTGTTTCATGAGGTAGCGGAGCTACGACGGATTCTCTCCATTTTCGTGAGGAGATACTGACAGCTCAAGAACCCGAAAGAACCCAAATTCCAGTCCAGTTGATGTAGCTCAGTGGTTAGAGCACCGGTTGGAAATGCGCACTGTGGTATAAGGTTGCGGGTTCAAAACTCCACAGCCTTGCGCATGGACACCGGCAGGGCGTTAGAGTGACGCACGGCTGGACATACATCGGGCTAACACATGGTACTATTACAGACACTGCCTGCGCACGTAGTCCTGGTTGTTGTATGTTGGGTCTTGACTATGCGTGGGTTGCTTGACGAAGCTATTGATTGTTCTGAAATTCTCCCCTGTTCTGGCATTCCATACATTGGAATCAATTCAGAACACAACACATAAGATAGGGCATTGTAGTTACACAACACAGGGTGTGGGTTCGAGTCTGGCTAGAGACTTTGGGGCGGTTTCTTGCACAGACCGGCCCACCATTCATATGACAATACAACCCTACACATATATACAGAACTCAATTGGGGCTTGGTGGGGGTCCGCACTACTGCTGGGGTTGGCTGGGATCAAGGCTTCGCGCTTGTCCCTGTCCAGCCTCAGTATCTA